AGCTGCCTCTTCCCCTCTCTCCGTGTGTGAAGATCCCTCATTCTGTCCTGCTTTTTGTCCCTCTCTTTCTGTGTTTCCACCTTGCTCCCCGGCTCTATGCTGATGTTCTCTTGCTCTGGTTCTCATCAGTTTTCCCATCTCTGTTACTCTCTGAGCCTCGCCTGTCTTCCCGAGCCTCCTCGCTATAGCCCCGTCTCTGTTCTGCTTTTCCCAATCTCTGTCCGGGAGTCAGAGCAGGCTGGAGCCCCTCCCTCAACCTCTTTTCTCCTCACAGCCTGACCTCACAATGACCAAGTGGGTTCTCCTGGTGCTGACCTTCCAGATCTTGGGCAGGGGCCCGCTTGGCACAGCAACCCCTGTGCCAGCCTTGCAGCTCCTCCCGCAGAGCTTCACCCAGGGCACTCCCGACCCTGTGGCCTCAACGAGCAACTCCAGCGCCCTCTCAGGTCATCCCCACCCTGGCCCCCGCCCTGGCGCCCACATCACCCTCTCGCTGGATGTCCCCATGGGCCTCCTGCAGATCTTACTGGAACAGGCCCGGGCCAGGGCCACGAGGGAGCAGGCTGCTGCCAATGCTCACATCCTGGCCCACGTGGGCCGCCGCTGAGCCCACGGGCTGCCTGTGTGTGGGCCATCCGCGGAGAGCAGGATCCGGCACAGGGACATGATCCTGCATCTGAATCTCTGCCTGGGACTTTGACAGCTGAGTGCCATGTACACTCAGTGTCTGCACCGCCTGGACAACACCCTGCAGGGCCGCCATCCCGCAGAGCACCCCACAGACACACTCTGTGCCTGGACACCCGGACGTGGCCATGGGAGGGAGGGCCCTGTCACGTGGGGTCTTACCACATCCGGCCGCCCTGCGATGACAGAGCATTGGGACACTGCCACCTGTGGCCCCAGTCACACCCCTGTCAGGGACCTCAACGTCAGACCCACACGGCAGGCAGCCCAGGCCAACTCCAGACCTGCAGGTCACCACCCTCCTCTGGCCCCTCCCCTCAGTCCTTGGAGGGGAGAGACGGGCGAGGTCCAACTCTACAGTCCAACTCTGCTCCACACTCACGGAACTGTCCGGAGCAAACCAGCTCACTCTCCGAAGCCTCACACCCTCCTCTGCCCAGCCAAGCAAGCGATGCCAGCAGACTTCCTGCAAGCAGCAGGTTGAGGTTCCTGCATGTGGGACGTGCTCAATAAAAGGGCTACTTAGAGACCAAGCTGGAGAATCACGTGGCATGCACCCAGTCCCTAATACAGGACCAGAGTCTTAGCTGCCCTCTTACCCCCATTTCACGCCAGGTTTGATGTGCAGAGGGTGGGTTTTGCCTTCTGGTGCCCAGCCAGCAGCTGGACATGGAGCTGACTTTCTGGAGAGTATGTGGACCAGGGTCCTCTGGGCAGCGTGGACACTGGGCCAAAGGGTCATGGCTAGAGAGAGAGACAACCCAGGCTGGGAATCTGGCAGCTTGGGGTGGGGGCACTGGAGCCATCTGGACAGGCGGTAGCCCTGGGGGGCGGGCCGGAGGCGGGCCCGGGAGGCGGCGCCCAGTGGGCTGGGGCTCTGCTGGGCCGGGAGGGCGGGGTTGCCCTCCAAGCTGCAGGGGGCGGCTGCCAAGGCCAGTCCCGGTGCAGGATGGACAGAGGCCCGGAAGGAGGCAGCTCCCTGACAGACCCGGGGTCGGGGAGCAGCTGCCAGGGTAGGCACAGCCCGCTCGGAGAGCTGGGGGAGAGGGGAAGAGCCCTGGGCTTAGTGGGGTTAGCGCTGGATGGGGCTTGAGGGTGGTGCTGGGGTATCTCCAGGTAGAGGGGTGCTGGGACCGGGGAGCAAGTGTCTGTCAGTGGCCCAGGGGAGGGGGAGCACCGCTGCCTTGCAGGGCAGAGGGGGCTGGGCCAAGGGGGAACTATAAATAGCTTCTCCCTCCAGCCAGGGGGAGCCTCCGCCAGCTGGAGCTGGCCAGGCCCTCCTCTCTGCCCTTTGCTGGCCTCTCAGGGGTCACAATCAGCCAGTCCCCCCCACTGGGGTGCACACCAGTTTGGGGAGGTCCAGAGGGCTCACTGGGCAAGTTTTCCTTCCTGCCACATATCTAGAGTGCCTACTGTGTGTTTGGGCCAGTCCGAGCTGCTCTCAGCGCCTATTGCATGCTCTGCCTTGCTGGTAAACCCGGGGACCCCTGGCTGCTCCAGGGTCCTCTGAGCATCTTCTGTGGGCCCCGGGCCAGGTTGGTCCCCCCACGAGCTCACAGGCTGCGTAGCCTGAGTTGGAGCCTCATCCTCCTCTTGAGCTTCAGGCCCTAGGAGAGACCAAAGAAAGTACTTAGGCGAGTAACAGCAGAGGAAACTGCTGGAACTCTCAGAAACCTCCAGGGGCAGCATGAGGGGGAAGGAGGCACCTGGAGGGAGCAAAGAGGTACCTGGTGGGGGGCCGTACCAAGAACGGACATAGGATTTGTTAGGGCATGTGAGTGGGTTGCTGTGTGGGTCTTTGTGGTAAGCACGGAGGCTTTATGCTGCCTAGGGGTAGTTTGGTGACTGGGAACCAAGGACTGAGGACACAGCCGCACCACAGCTGGGAGCCTGGGATGCTGGGAGGAGGGACAGTGCTTAGTGTGGAGGGCACCACTGGAGCCCACAAAGGCCAAGCCTGGCAGTTCTTGGTGGCAGGGAGCTAGCAGGACCTGCTCAACTGAGTGCACGCTATACCCCAGCATGGTTCCCAGTCACCCAGGAAAGCTGACCCATTTTGGGGTGAAAAGGCCTCCAGGTCAGTTCTGTTCCACACAAGGCATTTGTGGGGACAAGCAAATGCCTGCGGGAAAAGGTGGAACGTGTGGTGGGCGCTGGGGTTCGGGAGGCTGAGAACTGAGCTGAGTTCACCCTGCACTGTAGATGGATCTGTCTTCCCATCTTCAGTTTCATACCGGAGAGATGGAGAAGGGGAGCTTCCTGATAGCTGTGTAGACTCTGGCCTTGGGGAGGGACCCACATTCTGCAGTTGACCTCTGGTCTCCCTGCCATTGGGATGTCTGGGAGCCTTCTCTGTTCCTGAGAAGTGGGGCTCTGACTATCGGTGTGTAGGGATGGTTTCCCAAAAGGGCCCTGGCTGCCTGCCCCTCCCTGGCTGTCGACTCCAGACTTGCCTACCCTCGAGGGAGCAATGGGTTCCTGTGAGTGCTAGAGGAAGCAGTTTTGCTGTGGCGCTGGCAGGTGAATAAGGCATGAGCATGTGATGACCAGGGCTGCCTCTGCCTGCAGCGGGAGTGGACAGGAGTCACAGAAGTGGTGTGAAGCAGGTGGGTGGGCACGAGGTGGTGAGGGATACGGGGGGAACACCCAGGGAGGCAGTTAGAGCTGATTAAGGGAACATCTAGGTGGTTCCAGAATGTAAACTCCTGACCCTTTATTTTTATTTATTTGGGGGAAGTTCTTTTGGGTCACACCTGCCACTCCTGGCTCTGTGTTTAAGGATGATGTGGTATTGGGGGGACCATATGTGGTGCTGGGATTCAAACCATGGCCAGGCCACAGCTGCATGCTTGACAAGTGCCGACTGAACCTTTGTGCTACCTCTTTGACCTCTGAACCTTTATTTCCTGTCAAATGGGCAAGATTGAGTATTTGGAGGATTTTTTTTTCAAGACCTGAAGTCATTTTACGGGTCCAGTCCTTTACAGACTGTGACTTGGGGGGTTTAAGCAGGTAGAGGGATAATAGGGCACAGTACCTGTGGTGCACTGGGTGGAGCCTTGTTCTCTATGGCCTTGGCATCCAGCTGGGTATAGTGCGTAGAAGGTATAGTGATTTGGTCAATGGGTGTGGTGGAAGACAGAGCATGGTGAGGGAGAAGGTTGTGTGACCCAGATTCTGGCTGTGTGGATGGGAGCTGGGGATGAAGAGAGAGGGCTGAGAAGAGAGTAGGACATTCTTGAACTTCTGGATCTTTCTTTTTCTAAATGCTTGCCATTACTGCATTTCTAGAGATAAGAGGTAGATCAATACTCTGATAAATGATAAAACACTAATGTGCTTTCGAATAACTTTTTCAGACACTGACATATTTAATCTCTGCCAGAACCTTCTGAGACTGATGACGTGCACATTCCATTTTCCTGATGAAGAGACAGAGGCTCATTAAAAAAAAAAAAGCATGAAAACATATAATTTAAAATGTCAGTGATACAGCACGTGCTTGGCATGTGTGAGGACCTGGGTTTGATCCCTACACCTAAAAATAAATAAGTGGGGGACACGAAACCTCAGAAGGTGAATACTGCCAGGACTTGATGAGTCCCAGGCCAGTTTGGTTTCAAGGACCTGCTCATAGGCTCAAGTGCTCAAGTCCATTGGGATTTAGCCGGACCTCCTCAGCAGCCACAGGAAAGAGAGAAACACGATCAATTGCAAAATTTGTCCTAATTCCTTTCAGAAATTAAGGAGTTTTTTTCAGATTGGTTGGGGCCAGAGGCTCAGAACCAACTAGCAGATTGGGGCACAAGGTCAGCAGGAAGCGGTGGAGTTGACAGTCGAGAAAGAAGGACAGCAATTAGAATTATGAGATGGGCCCCTGGCTGATCTGCCCAACCAGGCACTCACGTAGACGCTGCCCCACTGCACGTAAACCCCACCTCCTGAGGCCCTGAAGTCCCCAGTGCCTGTAAACACCACCCTCCAGAGATCCTGAGGTTCAAGTAACAAAGAGAGAAGTCCGGGTTTCGAGCGCCCTGGGTGCCAACCCTGGGAAAGGCCTCGGGTGAGGTCTCTGCAGACCAGCGCTGTTCGGTTCGCTGTGCAGGACTCGTGCACTCGGGGCCCGTCAACCTCCGGAGCCAGCGCCAGAGAGAGGCAGACCAGTGCCCCCGATCCCGGCCCCCACGGGCGCACCTCTTAGTTCTCAGGGAGCAGGAGTGGCGGGCTGCGCATGCGTGGAGGGCGGGGCGGGGCCTCCTGGCCCAGGGGCGGGGCCTGCGGGGAGCTGGATGGCGTCATCGCGGCGGGGCGGGGCGCGGGGCGGGGCCTCGGTGGCCCGAGGTGGCCCGGGTGCTGGGTCCCCAGCGGCGCAGTCCGGCTCCTCCCGGCCCCGGGATGGCGTCTCCGCGAGAATTGACTCAGAACCCTCTGAAGAAGATCTGGATGCCTTACAGCAATGGGCGGCCCGCCCTGCACGCCTGCCCGCGCGGTGGTGAGGCGGGGTCCGCGGGGAAAGGACAGGGCGGTGCATCCGGACGGGCCATCCGGGCAGGGCTCTCTCATGGAGAGCCCACCCGGGACAGGTGGGGGACCGGGACCAGGTGGAGCTGCCGGGGCCGGGGGGAGGCGAGCAGGAGCAGGTAGGGGCTGGGAACAGGTGTGGCGAGCAGGGGGCGGGGACTGTTACTGCGGCGGCGGTTGGGTTTGGTGGGCGTCGGGTCTGGCCACCATCACCTCGCGCAGGCCACGCCCCTTCACACCCCACTCTCTCCAGCACCTCGGATCCGGGAGCCCCAGAGCCTGCGTTCCGCTGGCCCCGGAGCGCGGACCGGGTGCTAGGAACCGCTCTGGCTGTCTGTCTCTAGGGGAATCGCTGGGCTTTCTCTGCCCCAAGACCCTGGGGTGGGTGGGCAAGGCCCCCAATGCTAGGACGTGCACCTCACCTCTTGGCCTCCCTCCCCCGAGTTTGGGGAAGAATTTCACGGAAGTGTTGAAATGACCCACAGACAGAACACTGCCATATGGGCCTGTCGTTGTGCCCGAGGACTGGCAGCATTTGGGTGGGGCTGTGGGTGGTCGGTGGAACTGGCCGACAGATGGAAATAGCAAGGAGAAGAAAGTGTAAGAAGTGCTCACTGGGATTATCCTTTCAGGGGTCCTGGAGGGATTAATCTACTGCCTTGATTTTCTACTTCTTCTTAAGAGTCTGTCTCCTTTTATTACCAGGCAAAAGAATGAGCTTTAGGAGTAACTGAAACAGCAGGATGATTGGCAAGGAACTCAGAGAACGTCTGGTCCGATTAGTGGTGCAGATGTGGACACGGAGATGAGACTGGGCTCTCTGAGCTCTGCCTGGGCATGATAAGCGAGGGGAGAGTGCTCGGTACTTGGGTGCTTTGAGGCCAGCCTGGGGTCATGGCTTGGCACGAGAGCCAGGTGTGTCTCTTGCCACACTGTGGTCCTGGTGGGGTGTGACCGTTAGTTTCAGCCAGACTTTATGGTAGGCCATGGCACTGACCACGATTTATTTCCCCCCTATTTCCTCCCCACTCCCCACCCCCCTACCCCCCAAAGGCAACAGGCTGAGACTTGGACCATACTGTTGCAGTCCTGGTCCCCTCCAGTCCGCAAGAGCTGTGTGGTCTCATGGCATGGGGGGCGGGGGGAGGGTGAGGGGAGGAGGCTGCAGAGGGGCAAGCACTGAGCATCTGAGCTCTAGGCCACACCCAGCTTCCCAGGCCCCATCTGTGGGATGCAGGTGTTGGCTTCTCTGCTCCAGGAAGCTGGTGTGGGTTTTCGCCTGAGCGTTGCCCCTCACCTAAGGACTTCCGCTCCCCAAAACCACAGGACAGGGCAGGCCAGAGGATGTTTGTGTATGTGGGGGTGCTCTTTAGGTGGTAGCGGGTGACTTTGTAATTTCGTCACTCCCACTCTGCTTCTTGCTCCGCCCAAGTGGGAATTTGAAGCATCAGCTTTGACCCAATCCTGGTTGCGGGCAGCTGAGGCCCAGAGGGGCGGGACCTGCCTGGATCTCAAAGTCCCTGGGGCAGGCCCTGTTACTTTCTTTTTTCACAGAGAACTTTGGGTTTGTTTTTTGTGAGTTTGTTTTTAGAGGGACTGGGGAGGGAGTGCAGCACTCACAGTGACTGAAAGCCCTGATGTGCAGACAGGCCTGGTGACTGGGTGCCTGGAGACCACTTGGCCTGCATCTGGCAGGGCTGGGGGAAGAGGGAGGGGGCTCATGTGGTGCTGGGGATCAAACTCAGGACCTTGAACCTGGTAGGTTTGTGTCCCACCTCTTGAGCCATATCCCCAGCCCAGGAGCTGTGTCTCTTCAGCTCCAAGTATGCCACTAAAATGTGGCCCTGGGGCGGGAGAGATAGAAGAGGAGGCAAGGTGCAATCTTGCAAGCTGCTGACCCGGGTTCTGCTCCCTGGCACTGCCTGGACCCCCAGCCTCCAGCCTAAGCATCACCAGGAGTCCCTTCTAAGCACAGAGCCAGGAATAGCCCCTGAGCATCACTGATTGTGACCTTCCCAACACACAGACACAAACAAATAACTGAAATGTGAATCTGACCTAAGCAGAGGGGCTTTTGTTGTCACACTCTTTGATGTCACCCTGGGTGGGCTGTGGGCTGACTCAGCACAGAAGGTTTCCTAGAAGAGATGGCAGTCAAGAGGCCAAAGATAAATCGAGCAACTAGTGTAGGGTTTGGGCCCTGGGCAGAGTTCTGGCATTGGCAGCGGGAGTGAGAGGCAGCACAGGCACAGTAACTGTCTGTGCACACCCCCACCCCCACATCCAGGACCAGAGTCTGCACGACTTCTGCCCGAGACACACAGGCTTATGACTCAGTCGAACCACAGGACAGGGCAGGCCAGAGGGTGGACGGTGGCAATGGGCGGCTCAAACTCAGGACTGTGGAAAGAAGAGGTCCCAGGGTTGCAGTGAGATAGTGGGCATCTCTGGGTTTCCAGGGGCTGAGAAGCTCCCCTCTATTTGATTCGACCTTAGGAATTCCATCTTTTGGTAAATGTTGGAGCTACAAGAGGACTTGCTTGGGTGCTTTTTCCTTCTCCTCATTGACCCTTCGGTTCAGACCTGGAGAAACTCTGGGTGAAAAGAGGGACCTCAGGAGAGAGAACCATGAAAGTGCTTCTTAGCTTAAAATAAAGGTGCCAAGACTCCTCTTGGGGAACACTACTGGTGAATGTGCAGGATTGCTGGATTCAACTTTCTGTCCCCTCCGAGGACAGTGATGCCAGGTCCAGGTTGCTTTATTATACATATAGATAGAATGGTTTTTGCATTCCAGCCCTCTTTTCCACTCTGTATTTCCTTCCTTCCTTCCTTCCTTCCTTCCTTCCTTCCTTCCTTTCTCTCTCCTTCCTTCCTTCCTTCCTTCCTTCTTTATTTCTTTTCTTTTTTCTTTCTTTCTTTCTTTTATTTTATTTCATTTTTTTTTTTTTTGCTTTTTGGGTCACACCTGGTGATGCTCAGGGGTTACTCCTGGCTCTGCACTCAGGAGTTACTCCTGGCGGTGCTCAGGGGACCATATGGGATGCTGGGAATTGAACTCGGGTCGACCACGTGCAAGGCAAACGCCCTACCCACTGTGCTATCTCTCCAGCCCCCTTCTTTCTTTCTTTCTTTCTTTCTTTCTTTCTTTCTCTCTCTCTCTCATTTTTGGGGATCACACCCGGTGGTGCTCAGGGCTTACTCCTGGCTCTGCACTCAGGAATCACTCCTGGTAGTGCTTGGGGACCAAATGGGATCCAACCTGGATCAGCCACATGCAAGGCAAATGTCTTACTTGCTGTGCTCTCGCTCTGGCTCTCCTTTTATTATTTTTTTAATGGGTTTATTTTTCTGTGTGTGTGGCACTAGGGATCAAACCTAGGTCTTCATTCCTGCAAAGTGTGCACCCTGCCACTGAGCCAGCCCAGCTGTGGCTGCTGTCTCTGAAAGAGCCCTTCTGGCCCAACCAGGCCCACAGAAGCAGGTCAGGATGCAGTTCTGGAACCCATTCCAGGAACCTGTGGCCGCCCCCAGTTGTGGCACTACTGGAAATTCCTCTCTAGCACACCGTCACTTGTCCTTGGGCCCTGGGGCCCGGAGCACGGAGACAGGAACAGGAGCTTGTGCAATGCTGAGTGCCCCGGCTTCTGATTTCCTTCCACACATGTAGTGTCCAAAGCGGGGTGCGCTGCAGTTCTGTTGCTCAACATCAGGGTACTAGAGGCCAGAACCGGTCACAGTGATGCGCCTGCGTGTCTGCCTGCTCCGGTCCTGTGCTTCCCCCACTGTCGCTGTCCGTTTGCTGTTTCCCCGTTGTGGGGCTGGTCTCTGAGTTTTGCTGCCGTTAGCAGAGCTGTTATGCAGATGCTTGTACTTTGCTCTCTGTTTGGGGGCCTTTTCTTGGAAGTTTATCTTGAAGCCCAGAGGTAATGGGTCATTTATTGCTCTCCTGTTGTGCCTGGCCCTGGTGTGCAGCTAGCCCAATCTGGGGGTGCATGGGTGTCCTTGGGAGGGGCCGGGGTGTCTCTGGAGAGATGGAAAATGTGAAGGGGGAGGTAGAACCTGAATCATGAGGCTGTAGGAGGACTTTCAGGGGCAGTGGGAAGGGGTGACCTTGTCAGGGGAGTAGGGTGCATGCAGGTCCCTGTGTTAGGGTTGACCCAGAGGCACTGGCAGGGTCTTACTGAACTGAATTTTCTCTTGCTTTGACTACTGCTGATGGTTTCCTGCAAGTTTCCTCTCTCTTGTATTTGTCAGCCTGTGTTCCGGGGGCCTTTCCTTCCTCTGGGCCTGACAGCTTAGCAAAGGCCGTGCTTGAGAGACATGACACCCTCACTGGCATGCAGGGTGCTCTGATTCCCTGCAGGGCCTCTCTGGAGACAGGGAGGTGTTTCTGCACCCTCTGTCCAGAGGCTTTGGGTGCTGAGGTGCTGTCAGAGAGCATAGCCTCCAGGAAGTGCGATGGCACTGCCACAGAGAAATATGTGGCCTTGCTGAGGACTTACCAGCCCATTTTACAGGTGAGGCCACCAAGGCTGGTGAGTGTGAGAGGATCAGAGCCCAGGCCTGCTGGACTTGAGGCTGCCACCCTACTGCAGTGAGGGAAGTAAGCTGAGGGGCAGGGCTCACAGTCCATGCAAGGAGGCCACCAAGTGACATTACGGGCAAAGCATACGGACAGATGAGGGGCATGAACAGTGCCCACCCCTGCCCACTTGTAGTTTCCTGAGTTTGTCCCTGGCCCGGGTCCTGCAGCTAATGAGAGGGGTGCCTGTGAGGGGCCTCCACCCCGAGCACCAGCCACTCCCCCGAGTCCAGCTTTCTGCTGCCCCTGTGTCTGTCCCAGCAGGCGAGGACCGAGTCCAGCTCCTTACCCCCCGCCAGCCTTTGCAGCTGCTCTGGCTGTCACTCTGACCTGGCAGCACTCGCTGGCAGGGGTGACGTCAGAAGGGCTCCTCTCTGGTTGCAGACCCGGGGTGCCAGGGCTCAGATTCCCCCTGCCCCACTTCCCTTGCTCCTAACATTTGAGCACCACCTTCGTGCCCGGATGCAGGAGCCCGAATGGCCACAGCACTGCAGGGCTGACCCAGGCCATGGGAAGAGGGCAGAGACTCACTGGTGAGAGGATGGGGAGAGGGGCGGCAGGTGGGTGGAGCAGACACACTGAAGAAGCAGTGTTGGAGCAGGGCTGAGTTTGAAGAGAAGTTTACCAGGGGAGGCTGAGTCGGGACCGCAGGGACCACAGCTGACTGTCGGGTGGGTTATATTGCGCCCTGACGTCCCCGTGGCCTCCAGCTCTGTCCTGTGGGTGCTGGGACTCCTAGCAGTGTCGAGTCAGGATAAGATTGGGCCAACTCTGGGCTGCTGGTCAGCCGCAGGGTCAGGCTGGCACCTAGACAGGTCTCTGGGGGTACCAGCAAGGGGCACTCAGGGAGCTGTGTGCTATGATGAGTCTGGCACGACCTCGCTTGTTCGTCCTGTTCCCCCACTGCAGGACAGCAGGGTACCCCACTGGGGGTACCCCGGGAGGGTTCCAGGAGGGGTCACTGTCCTTGAGTGATTCTGTGCTTTCCTTTTTAAAAGTTGAATCACAGTGAGATACACAGTTACAAAGTTGTTCATGATTGGGTTTCAGTCATGCAATGTTCCAATAACTGTTGCTTCTATGCTTTCCTTTTATTTGGCCACTGTGTGTGTGTGTGTGTGTGTGTGTGTGTGTGTGTGTGTGTGTGTGAAGCAAGATTTTTTTTTTTCATTGGAAGATGCAGGGATGGGGGAGAAGGAAAGGAATGCATGTTCAAGAGCTTGAAAGAGTAAGCAAAGAGTCAAATAAACTGTTCAAGGGAAGACATGGGCTTGGAGAGCAAGCATGCAGGCCAAGAGAGCCCAAAAGATCCGTGTTTAAGGGAGAACACGGGCTTGAAGGACAAGGCTTTATTTTTTAGTCACTTTATTGTGAGTTGCCCCCATCGGTGCCTGGGTGGCTGTGTGGTGCCTAGGATGCCACCCATGGCCTCGCACGAGGCTGTGTCCAGCCCTGACCTGTACTCTTCCCTTCCAGTCTGCATGACCAACTGCCCCACGCTCATTGTCATGGTGGGCCTGCCTGCCCGGGGCAAGACCTACATCTCCAAGAAGCTCACTCGCTACCTGAACTGGATTGGTGTGCCCACGCGGGGTGAGCCATGGACCCATTGCTTTGTGGGGTGGGGGGGAGGAGAGGAGAAAAGGTGGGACTGTGGGCAGGGCCTGGGCTGGGCCTGCGGATGGTCTGGAAACTGAGGTTCTCCTTCCTTCCCCCACAGAATTTAACGTGGGCCAGTATCGCCGGGACATGGTCAAGACCTACAAATCTTTTGAGTTTTTTCTTCCAGACAATGAAGAGGGCTTAAAGATCCGGAAGTAAGTATGTGGTGTGTGTGTGTGTGTGTGTGTGTGTGTGTTTATGGAGAAGATCCCGGATATGTATGTGAATGTGTGTATGTGTGTTTATGGGGAAGATCCCAGATGTATATGAATGTGTGTTTGTGTGTGGGTTTATGGAGAAGATCCCGGATGGACACACTCTGGCAGGTGGTCACCAACCAGCAGGATCCTGCTAGGAACTGGGGACTTTCCCCCTTGGCCCAGGATGACCCTCATATATTTAAAGGATATTTGGCAGGTTGTTGGCCATGTGGGTTAGGACTTGGCATTGCTTTTAAGTGGTTGCAGGGAGCTGGTTCATTTGGGAGATGGCTATCTGTACGGTTCAGATGTATATGAATATGTGTGTGTATGTATATGTATGTATGTGTATGTATATGAATATGTGTGTCTATTTAAGGAGAAATTCCCACAGTGCAGATGTTGTATATTAGGGCAACTTCTGAGCCCAGACCTGGTCCTGCTTGGTTTCTCAAGATGAGAAAGTGGTGGGGGACAGGTGGAGATGGCCTTTTGCTGGTTGGCCTGTCCTGCCTTGGTGTCCTTGAGCCTTGGTCACAGTGTCCTGAGGTGGGGAAAGAGGGCCTTTGGGGAAATGAAGGTGGCTTGGCCAGCTCAGGGCAAAGGTTCCACATATGCTTCATGGGCATGGCCTCTGAGCAGGTGGAAGCCCAAGTGGGTGGGGTATAGAGGCCTCAGAGATGGGCACACCCTGGCAGGTGGTCACCAACCAGCAGGATCCTGCTAGGAACTGGGGACTTTCCCTCTTGGCCCAGGATGACTCTTGTATATTTAAAGGATATTTGGCAGGTTGTTGGCTGTGTGGGGTAGGACTTGGCATTGCTTTTAAGTGTTTGCAGAGGCTGGTTCACTTGGGAGATGGGTATCTGTATGGTTCAGATCTGAAGGGGGCAGTTCCTCCAGGGAGATATAGCTCCCCATTGCCCAGGGTGGCTGTGGCCAGAGATGGCTCAAAGGGCCGGAACACACAATTTACATGTGGGACCCCTCATTCAACCCCTGGCACTCCATTGCCAGGAGGGAGCCCCTGAGCACCCCACTGAGAGTATCCTCAGCACCACTGGTGTGACTCCAAAACAAACTGGAAGGTTCATCAGCTCTGTGTAGCTGACCCACTGCGGTTGGGCATTGGCCCAGCTGTCATCATCAGATCAAGCCTCTGGGCCTCTGCAGGTGTCTGGCTGTTAAGCTGCCTGACCCCTTCTCTTGCCACCAGGGGGCAGGACCTCCTCACCTGGAGAAATGGGGTCCTTCGGTGGATCAAGGGACTGGGTCAGGCTGTACCAAGGGAAACCACGGACAGTCAGGCCTCTAAGCCTCTAAGGCCCAGCTGTGGGTCAGACTCTAGATCTAACCCTCTGTTCTTTATAAGGCAAATGAAAAGGATGAAGACAGATTGTGAAATTTCTGCTATATATTGAATGTTGGCACCCCCCGCCCCCACCCCATGTTCGTTCTACAGATGAGGAGACTGAGCCTTAGGAATCTTACAAGTTACTTTACTTGAATCTAATCCACTAAAAACCATTCTCTCTTTTTTTTTTTTTTTTGGTGGTAGGGCACACCCAGCTGTGTTGTGCTCAGGGCTCACTCCTGGCTTGGCAGGGCTCAGGGAACCATTTGCAGTGCCTGGGGTTGAATCCAGGTCAGCTGTGTGCAAGACAAGCACATTGCCTACTGTACTGTCTCTCTGGTCCCCTCTTAAAACAGTTCTTTTTGACCTGATTTGTAGCTCAAACGATGGAACATGTGCTTTGTGTGAGAGAGCCTTGGATCCGACTCCCAGCATTACATGGTTCCCGGAGCATCCCCAGAAGAGTCCCGCAGCATGGGCTGGGAGAAGCCCCTGAGTGCTACATGTACCAAAGCCAAGGAATAGAAAAGTACCTTGCTACTCTGGGAAAATGTGTAACATTAGAAATCACAGCTATGGCCAGACAGCAGCCTGATTTATACACAATGAGCTGAAAAGGGGGGAAGTATGAAAATTATTTTGAAGAATATTTGCAGTGGCCTAGAACATATACTGGTAGAGAGTTAGCAAAACTGAATGTCCCCCTCTCCCAAGGAAAGACAGAGATACTGGAGAAAGAAGGGGCGCGGCTGTTCCGCTCTGGTCCAGGGCAGGATGTGCCCCACCTTGCCTTGGGGTTGACCCTGTTCTCTCTCCTGAAGGCAGTGTGCCCTGGCAGCCCTCTGTGATGTCCGGCGTTTCCTCAGCGAGGAGGGAGGACATGTGGCGGTGAGTGTGACGCCGGGGAGTGTCATGTGGGAGGCCACACATGTCCTTCTGTGCTGAGGAGGGGAAGACAGCTGTGTGGTCCAGGGAAAGACTATGGGTGCCAGCCCTGGGGAGGAAGTCTTTGCCAGTTTGCAGGAGGAATGGGGGTAGGCCAGGCATTTTCCTGACCTCTGGGCGATGGTCACTGTTGACCCGGAAGGACTTCCTAATACTCTAATTGTGCCCTATCTTGTAACCCCCACAGTCTCTCCAGGTGTGAGATGAACACTGCTGCTTTAGGAGCCACTTGGATCCTGGCTCAGGGAATTCCTCCTGTGCTTTTTCATCCCTCTGGCTAGATGGGGTCGGGCAGAGCTGAGCAAGGGACCTGGGGGAGGGACCCTTCTCTGCCTTCAGGATATTTTTTCCATCTGGGAGAGACTCTGGCTGGTCTGCGGTCCCAGCTCCATCTTGACTAGGTCTCTGGCACACTTGTGAACCTGGGGATTCCCGTCTGCTCCCTCCCAGACTGAGTGTCACATGCTGGGTCCTGCTCCTCGTGGTCCTGGCTTGCTAACTTTCTTTGTCATCCCCCGAAAGATTGCTGAGAAAGGAGCCTGAGCTCTGAGTCACAAATATCTAGGTTTTATGGAGGTGGCAGGGGGGAGGACACCCCCAGTGGTGCTCAGGGACCACTCAGGTCACACCTAATGGTGCCCTGGGTGATGTGACACCAGGGATGGAACCCATTACCTCACACGTGCAAGGCTTGTGCTCTAGCACTTGATCCATCTCCCAGCTCCCAGTGCTCCTCTTTCTCTCCCCCCTCCTCACCATTGATGCTTAGGTAGGGTTTGAAGCAGAAAGTACTTGCCCATAGAATTTCCCGGCGTGGCTCCATGATTTCTAACATGACTGTGAAGAAGCCTGCCGTTGTTCTGATGCACTCGTCAAAGTTTCATCTCTTGGGTGATGCTGGAAGTGCCTCAATCCCCTTCCTCGGGGAGGGCTTTAGCATCTTCAGGATAATGTATGTTGGGGTGGGTATAGCAGGCTGGGTTGGAGTGAGGGTGAGGGCACTTACTTTCCACAGGAAGATTCTATCAGGTCAGAGAAATTCTTTTCATTTTATTTATTTGCTTTTGTGGTGCAAAGAATTGAGCATAAGATTTTACATATTCAAGGCATGTGTCGGACATATCTCTGGTCCTGTAGTCTTTTGTGGGGGGCATAGGAAGTCTTTTGGACCACACCTAGTGGAGATCAGGGATCACTCCTGACAGGGCCCATGAGACCATATGTAGTGCCAAGGTTTGCACCCGGGCTGGCTGCATGCAAGGCAAATAGCTGACCTGTTGAATTCTCTGGTCCCCTGAATGCCTTTTTAATAAGGCAGTGCTCAAGCTGGAGAGGTAGCACAGGAAAAAGGTGCTTGCTGCACTTGTAGCCAAGCCAGGTTCAAACCCAAGCACTGCATATGGTCCCCTGAGACCCACCAGGAATGACCCTGGAACACAGAGCCAGGAGTAAGCCCTGAGCACAGCCAGGTATGGCCCCCAAACAAACTCCCAACTAAGAAGGCCATACTCTAAATGCTGTTTGGATGTACTGGTGAGTGGGCTGCACCCAGGGGACTTGTCAGGCCAACACTGCAGGAGGAGCCCCGTTGGGTTGGGAGCTCTGAGATTCCTCCTGTTCTTCATTGAAACCCTAGCACTGCTCCCCTTCCCGACCTTGTTCTTATTTCAGAGATGCTCGTGTCCTTGCTGGTGCCCACCTCTGCTGTGTCCTGGCTGGCGAGGGCGTGGCTCGGTGTCTCTGTTTCTGTGACCCAGCATGTGTGTGCTTTACAAAAATGTTCCCATCTCCCAGCCCCTTCCTTTCTCTCTCCTGCTCTTTCTATTCTTCTGTTCCATTTTACTAGGGTGTCAGGGTAGAGGAAAATAAATTTGAGGCTTGCTCTATAAACCCGTGTTCTCCCTTGAACGTGTGTCGCTGTCTTTTTGCTTGCTTTTTTCCACTTGGAGAAGTCCATGTTCTCTCTTAAACACGAATTTCTTTCTCTCCCCTCACATTTTTCTAAGTTTCATTCAATAAAAGCTATCTTGCTTCATCAAAGAGAGGAAGGAAGAAAGAAAAGTTGTGTTCCTTTCTCCAAGCCTAACTGGTTTCACTAAAAATCTTCAAACGTTAGAACTCTTTTCTGTGATGTTGGGCTCAAACTCCAGGCCTGGCAAGTGCTCTGCCTCTGAGCCACATCCCTGACCCTCCCTGGAAGGTTTCATGGTCAGACATCTACTGAGTGTCCACTGTATGCAGGGCAGGGCAGAATGCAGGCTAGAGAGCTGCCCGCGCCAGGCACAGATGCCCCCCTGCTTCCTGGGAACCTCCTCCCATGGTGAGGCCAGCCCAGCCCACCTCACTTGCGAGCTGAACTTCCTTCTCAGTCCCAGAGGCCCAGTTAACCCTGGTTTGGTCCTAGGTTTTTGATGCAACTAATACCACACGCGAACGAAGAGCAACCATCTTTAATTTTGGGGAACAGAATGGATACAAGGTGAGGTCCCCTGGCTCCCTTATCCCCTGGCTTGTCTCTTTGGCTGGGCTGTGGCACATTCTGGCTCCCCAGGACCCTTGTCTGGGCCACCTGATGTGGATGGGATATTGCATGTAACTAACTCATGAGAAGTTTGGGGTGATGGGGGCTGCTCTGAAGCTCTCTTTGCAAGGAGGTGGGGGCCTGGGGGGAGAGGCTTGGCCAGGAAGGTGCCTGCTAGAGTCCATGTACCCTGGGTCTGGGAAAAGGGCTCAGAGAAGTGTCATCCAGAGGTCTAATGTGTCACGTGTCTGTACCCCCACCTCCATGCTGCAGACCTTCTTCGTTGAGTCCATCTGTGTGGACCCTGAGGTCATAGCCGCAAACATTGTGGTGAGTAGTACTTCTGGGCTGGCACCTGTGCTGGCCTTCCTTTGGTCCTCTTGGTGCTCTGTGGAGAGAAAGATCTAGAAGGCCAGGCCAAGTGTTCCTGGAGCCCTGAGGGCCTCCAAAGTTACTTGCGGACCAAAGTAACACTGAATCACTGGGGCTCCTCTGCCTGAAATACCTTCAACCTCTTTAATTTCCTGATTTCCTGACTTCCAAACAATTAACTGGACCCTGAACTCTATTTTTTCTTTTTTTTTTTTTTTTTTTTGGTATTTGGTATTTGGGATCCTGGCAGTCATTCATCCTCAAAATGCCCAGGGAAAAGGGCTAAAGTCTAAGAGCCCCTGGGCTCTTCCTAATGGGACTCACCCCCCACCCCCCAAGCTTGGCCACCAGCTTCTGCCCAGCATCTCCCCAGCATCACCCCAACATCTCCCCAGCATCACCCCAACATCTCCCCAGCATCTCCCCAACATGACCCCAGCATCTCCCCAGAGTCTCCCCAGTGTCTCCCCAGCATCACCCCTGTATCTCCCCAGCATCTCCCCAGCTTCTACCCAGCATCTTCCCCAGCCTCTCCCCAGTGTCTCCCTGCCCGGCCTCCAGCCCAACTGTGTCCTTTCTCTGACAGCAAGTGAAGCTGGGCAGCCCCGACTATGTCAATCGTGACAGTGATGAGGCCACCGAGGATTTCATGCGGCGCATTGAGTGCTATGAGAATTCATACGAGTCCCTGGATGAGGACTTGGACAGGTGAGCGAGGAGGCACTGATGGCTGGGCAGCGGGGGTCCTGCTTGTCTGCTCTTCTTGGCTCCTTATGCTGGTGGCTGAGCGGGCATGGATGGTTGGGCTTTTGTTTTGTTTCTTTCACTAGGGCCAAAATTATGGGCCAGAGGTGACTTGCAGAATCTCTGCTGCCTTATTTGAATGTCTGAGTCAGTTTACTATGAGTTCATCATAAAATCAAGCGTTATTTTTAGATAGAGTGTCTTTTCACAAAGTATTTACAGCCATCACGTGTTTTTTAATTTCTTTTTAGTAAATGTATTTATCAGATAATTTATTTATATACACATGGAGATGCATATTTGCTTTTGGGACTGTACCTGACTGTGCTCAGGGATCATTCCTGATATAACCAGGGGACCATATTTGGTGCCAGGGGTCAAACTGAGGTCTGCCATTTGCAAGGCAAATGCCTTAACCCCTTTAGTGTGTCTCTGGACCCTGAATTCTATTTTTCATGTTTTTTTGGTTTTCTGTTTTGTTTTTGGGCTACACCCAGCAGTGCTCAGGGGCTTTCTCCTGGCTCTGAACTCAGGATCACTCCTGGTGGGCACGGGGGACCGTATGGAGCGCAAAACAAGCTGTACTATTGTACTATTGCGCAGGCTCTGAACTCTGTTTGACATACAGCATGATGATAGATTCAGGTGGACAACATAATGACCTGCCATTTGTTTGTGATGCAAGGTGATCTCTGTAGTAAGTCTATCTTCCATATGGTCTTAGCAACTTTCATGTTTGCAACACAGCCGGCTGTCTTTGGACCCTGTCCTGTGTGCTATGTCCTTGTGACTTTATTTGTGGATATTTGTTCACTTCTTTACCTTTTATTGTATGTGTGGTGCCTGGGAAAGAACCCAGGGCCTCACACAGGCAAGGCTACTGCCTTCTGCTGAGCTTCTTCTCTAGGTCCCTGTTTGAGGACATTTGTATCCTGGTCCTCTCCACCCATTTCTGTACCCCCAATTTCCTATCCCTTTGTAACTCCCAATATATTATCTGTATCTATGAATTTTGGTTGTGTTTTGTTTCTGTTTTTGCGTCCTACCATATATGTGAGTCCATATGATGTTTTCTCCATCTAACATATTTCATTTAGGATATAATCCTTGAGGTTCTTATGCTTGGTCACAAATATTAAGATCTTGAAGCATGCACCTTGCATTTTTCTTTTCACTTTTGTTTCGTACTGGACCGTCACCCAGTTCCCAGCATGGCTCTCGCTGCATGGAACCATGTGTTGGGGTAGGGTTCCAGCATGTAAAGCTTGTGTTCCAGCTCTGTATGCTATTTCCTTGACCTCACAGTCTGTATTTAAAGAGAGGTGTTCCAAACCCCATCCGTGAACAGTGGCTCAGGTTAGAGCTTGTAGTTCTAGGAGTCTCTTGCTGAAATGGCAGGTCCCACAGCAGTGAGTGTGGGTGGAACATATACTTCAAGCCCCTAAGGGGCAGTTAGCCAAGTTCCTGCAGCAGGGGTCAGTAAACTTTTTCTGAAAAGGGCTAGTAAATATTTTAGGCTTTAGGGGCATAGTCAATTCTGCTATTGTAGTATCAAAGAAAAACAGGCAACGTACAAATAAATGGGCATGACTGGATTCCAACAAAACCTTGTTTGCGAAACAGACCAGGGCTGCTTTTGACTTGCTGGCCATAGTCAACTCCTGTCTACCAGCATAAATGGGGACAGCAGTTGAGTAAATGACAGTGTAGCGCCTTGGTCAAGTCTTAGAGTCCTTCTACATCAGCTTGGAGAGACACAGGGACAGAGGTGTTCGGCATCAGTAAGAGGAAAGGTTGGAATATAAACTTGGACTTGGCTCTGTTACTTTGATATAACACATACCACATCCAAACTGAGAAGAAGCCAATGTCGGAGGGATGGTTTCTGGAACTGTTCCTGGAGGGCTGAGCGGCTCTGCACCCCGGCTCTAGCCCAGGCCTCTTGGAGTTCAAGGGCCCCTCGCCATGGTTTCTTTGTTTCCCTGGTCTCTGGGACAGACTGTTTTCCCTCCTGGCTCTTGGGCCACATGGGGAGGAGAGGACAGCAGCTCCTATTGGACTGGTCAGTCACAAGTCCAAAATTGGCTCCTGTTTCTATTGGCGGCTTCCGTATGACATCCTGGAAACTGAAGCCTCTGTTTCAGCCAGTGAGGACCCAAATGAAAACATTCAGGGAAACTGGTATGAACCAGAAAAAGGCAGAGAAACCTCGCCTTTCCCCCCCCTGCACCCCACTGCTATACACAGCAGTAAACAAGCCTGCTTTAGGAACTGCCATCTGCTTTTGACCCCTCCTGGCTTTCCATAACACCCTTTGGAAGCATAACAAGTGTTGTACCCCTCCCTGGCAGGGGACTGTCTGTGTTGTGAGGTCCAGCCTAGTGGTTGGAGACATGAAGCCCTGTTGCTGGGCTCATCCCGATCACAGCCTGTCCCTGCCTTCTCTCCGGACAGGGACCTGTCCTACATCAAGATCATGGATGTGGGGCAGAGCTACGTGGTGAACCGTGTGGCTGACCACATCCAGAGCCGCATTGTGTATTACCTCATGAACATCCATGTGACCCCCCGCTCCATCTACCTCTGCCGTCATGGCGAGAGCGAGCTCAACCTCAAGGGCCGGATCGGTGGGGACCCGGGACTATCCCCCCGGGGCAGGGAGGTCAGTGTGTGTGTGGTTTCTACTCTGTGGTTTATGTGGCTGCTTATGCGTGTGTGTGTGTGTGTGTGTGTGTGTGTGTACTGCATTGGGCTGATGTGCTGTGAGGTGGATGAACTTCATTCCATCTAGAATGTTCCCGTTGTGTAGGGACGGTCATCTAGCTCTAAGCAAACACCTGGAGCTTTGGCTTTAAGCAAACACCCACTGAGTTCCTTTCATGGGGTGCCAGTGGGGGTGATGGTGGCGGAGGCTCCCCTTCTGGGGATGATCTGAGTCCCTAAAGTATAGCTAATGTCTGACCACACTCAGGGGAGACACTAAAGCTTCAGTGGGGAGGCCAGGGGCCACTGAAGACATACCTCCATAGCACTTGTGGGGGGCTGTCATGAGAGGGTCCCCCCAAGGTTAGATTTTCACTAAACCTCTGTTCTCTGAGGCTGAGCCCGTCCCCAGCAACCCCGTGGGATCCTCTGAGGGTGCCCCAGGGGCTGTGGATCTGAATTTTTTTTTGTGCTGTGTTTCAGTTTGCTAAGAGTCTGGCGCAGTTCATCAGTGACCAGAACATCAAGGATCTGAAGGTCTGGACGAGCCAGATGAAGAGGACAATCCAGACGGCTGAGGCCCTAGGGGTGCCATATGAGCAATGGAAGGTTCTCAATGAGATTGATGCGGTACTTACCTTCTCTTTCCCCATATCCTGGGCACAGAGGAGTGTTGGGAGACAGAAAGAGCCTTGTCCTTAATATTCCTTCGTATTCTGGGCTGTTGATTCTCCCCTCCCTCCCTTTTCTTCTATAGCACCTAGCTACCCTGACTTGCGTTCTTCAACCTTTATACACCTGTGGATCAGCATTTGTCCTGATCCACAGACTAGTGATTATAACCAAGGCAGTAGACCAAGGGTTTTCAGTCTTTCTATAAGCCAGTTCTGATCTTAGAGTAGCAATTGAAGAGTACTGATCTAGACCAACCAGAATTAATTTTGGTTTTTGTTGTTGTTTTTTTTGTTTTTGTTTTTTTGTTTTTTCTTTTCTTGGGTCATATCTGGTGATGCTCAGGGATTACTCCTGGCAGTGCTCGGGGGACCATAAGGGATGCTGGAGATTACGAACCCTGGTTGGTTGTGTGCCAGGCAAATGCCCTACCTGCAGTACTATAGCTCTGGCCCCCAGAATTAATTTTTTTTTTCTTTTTGGGTCACACCCGGTGATGCACAGGGGTTACTCTTGGCTCATGGACTCAGGAATTACTCCTGGCAGTGCTCGGGGGACCATATAGGACGCTGGGAATTGAACCTCGGTCGGCTGCGTGCAAGGCAAATACCCTACCCACTGTGCTATCACTCCAGACCCTCCAGAATTAATTTTGTTGAGCTGATGCAGAGGCCTTAAATCTGATCATTTCCTGAATATAGTTCAGTGACCTCTATTCTGTTCCTTTTGATTTGACCTTTTTTTGGGATGTTCAGGGCTTACTTCTGACTCTGCACTCAGGGATCCTTCCTAGAAGGGATGGGGGAACAATATGGGAGTGCTGGGATCAAACCTGGTTTGTCCATGTACAAAGTAAGTGTCTTACCCACTGTACTATTACTCCAGCCCCATATTGTTTTTTATTTTTTGGGAAGCAGGGGATCAAACCCAGAACATCATACATACAAAGCACAGATTTTACTGCTGAGCCATATCTCTGGTCAGTTATAGCAGGTTTTTGATTTCTGGGCCACACTGGGAGGTGCTCAGGGAATTGAACCCAGGCTTCCTAGATGCAAAGGATCAGTTCTTTAAGATATCTTCCTGTCCATAGAGCAGCTTAAAACTGTGGTGCTTGTTTTGTTTGCTTCTTTGTTTTTTGCCATTTGGGTAGATTTTATGAGGTCTTTTGCACATGTTTTTACCTTTCTGGTTTTTATTGTTGTTGTTAGTTCTTGATATATTCTAGACATGAAACATACCTGTTAATTTGGGGGAAGTGTTTTGGGCCACACCCAGTGATGCCTAGGGCTAACTCCAGGCTGTGTACTCTGAGGTCATTCCTGTTCATGCTCTGGGGACCATACGGGGTACTGGGGATTGAACCTGGGTCAGCCTTGTGTAAGGCAAGTGTCTTACGTGCTGTGTTATCTCACCAGTCCACACCTGTTAATTTTTAATTGAGTGCATGACATTTTGTACAAAGAGCATTGGATCATTTCAGGTTCTGGTTAATATTCTCTATCTCCAGAGGCAATTGGGGCAGATGCTATTAGCTGAGCTAAGGATAGAGAAGCTTTAAAAATGCATTTTGATATTTGTGGAGACTTCTTAGTGTTTTGGTTCCTAAAGAGTGTGAGGTTTTCTGTGGGGGGTTTGAGGAGATTCCGTGGTGCTTAGGAGCTGGGGGCCATTTCTGGTGATATGGTGCTGCTTGGGAACCCCAGGGCAACTCTGGTGGTGCTTGGGGGGTGGGGTATGGTGACATGGGCTATACCCAGGGGTGCTTGAGGACAGTGGTGCCATGGGTTGATCTTATAACCTTGAACATACAAAACATTTGAGCTCTCTCCACAGCCCTTAGACCTTGGATTTTAAGGTTCTGACTTGTCTCCTCTGCCCAAGATTGCTGACGATTTTGCCAAACTTATGCCCACTCCATCTGCTTCCTCTTTCTGAATAGTCTCATCTCCCTCCACCCCTCACTGTCACTGTCACTGACCTCCCGTTGTTCATCGATTTTGATTGAGCGGGTCCAGTAACATTGTGAGACTTGTTACTGTGTTTGGCATATTAAATATGTCACAGGTAGCTTGCCAGGCTTTGCCGTGCAGGTGAGATACTCTCAGTAGCTTGCCGGGCTCTCCGAGAGGGGCAGAGGAATTAAACTCGAATTAGCTGTGTTGGCTGCGTGCAAGGCAAATGCCCTACTGCTGTGTTATCGCTACAGCCCTCTCCACCCATCAAGTCATTTAAATATAACTGATGGGGCTAGAGAGATAGTACAGGGGGCGGGGGAGCTTGCCTTGCATCCTGCCAACACTTGTTCAATCCCTGGCACTGCATATGGTCCCCATCACTATCAGGAGTGATCCCTGAGTTCAAAAATAGTTCCTGAGCACCATCCCATGTGGCTTGAACACAAATAGAAAAAAAATGTCCTTAATATTGGGATTGGAGCAGTGCTACAATGGGTAGGGCAATTGCCTTGCATGTGGCCAAACTGAGTTCAATCTCTGGCATCCCACATGGTCTCCTGAGCACTGCCAGGAGTAATTCCTGAGTACAGAGCTGGGAATAAGCCCTGAGCAAACTATCCCCAAACAAACAAAATGTTCTTAATATTGTATATGCAGCTCCCCACTCCCTTCCTTTAACTATACTTTCAAGTCAGCAAAACTTCTGGGAGAGGACTGTTGTTGGGTACACGTCCACTATTTCCCCCTCTTGCCTTTCCTTTGTTGTTGTTGTTGTTGTTGTTGTGGGAGGTGAGGTAGGGTTCATGGGGGGAGGGGGGCGCTACATACAATTGATTGAGGAGCTCTGAGGATCACAGTCCAGGTACTCGGCTTGTCAGTGCTGGTACAGTGCTGGTGCTAGGTGCTGGGAATCGAACTTGAAGTCACTTTCCTCAGGTTTACTCTTTATTATTTGAAAAAAAATCTTTTATTTTTTTACAATAGCATTAATGCTTATTAATGTTTTGGTGTACAAAGTGCTACACATCCTCCACCATGAAGCTGCTGCAGTCTGTCCCACCCCCACCCCTGCTTGGTGTCCTCATTCTGTTGCCAGAGTCCAAGGGTTGGTTTTCGTTGGCTGCACTCTCTATGTTTCTTTATATGCCATCTATGAGCGAGGTCATCTGATGTTTGCTCTCTCCTGATTTATTCTGCTTAACCTTAACATGACACCTTCTTGTTCCATCCAGGTGATAGCAAAATGCAGGAATACTTTTTCTTCTTTTCCAAATGTCTTTGGCCACATTACTGGCAGTTCTTGGGGGACCATCTGGCTCTTGGAGACCAACTGAACTGAGGTTTTCCCAAGGCAAAACGTGTGCTCTCACCCTTTGAGCCATCTCCCTGATCCCTATTTTAGTTTTCTTTTTTGTTTTGGGGCCACGGTAAGCAATGCTCAGGGATTCCTCCTGTCATTCCCTGGTAGTCTAGTGGTTAGGATTCGGTGCTCTCAGGCATTCCTCCTGGCTCTGCACTCAGGAATGCAGGCTCAGGGACTATATGGGAGACCAGGGTTTGAACCTGGATTGACTGCATGCAAGGCAAGTGCCTTACCCACTGTACTATTTGTCTTGTCCCTCTATTTTAGTTTTCTTAACATGAGAGAGTCCAAGTTTTTAGGGGAAGAAGGGAGATTATTATTGACATTGCTTGGGATTTTTTTTTAGCTGTGCTCAGTGCTTACTCTTTTTTAAATTAAATTTTTTATTTAAAATTTTTATTGATCAAAAATTTTTATTGATCAGGTTTACAATATTCTTTTTATTTTATTTATTTATTTTTTATTGAATCACTGTGCGATAGGGCATTACAAAGCTGTTCATGATTGTGTTTCAGTCATACAGTGTTCCAACACCCATCCCTCCACCAGTGTAATTTTTCAGCACCAGTGTCCCCAGTTTCCCTCGCACCCCTTCAAGCCACCCCCACCCCTGCCTGCCTTTATGGCAGGCATCTCACTTCTCTCTCTCTTTCTCTTTCTGTGTCTCATTTTAGGCATTATGGTTTGCAATACAGATGCTGAAAGGTTATCATGTATATCCCTTTACCTACATTCAACACTTAATTCTTGTCCAGAGTGACCATTCCCACTAGTATTGTCATAAATGGACCCTCCTCTATCTTAACTACCCTCCATCCCCCACACCCTTGTGATAATTCTCAGGGCTTAATCTTGACTCTTTGCTTAGGGATTACTACTGGCAATACTCAGGGGAACAAAAGTGTGCTGGAGATCAAATTGGGATTGTGTGCAAGAATACACCTAAACCCCAGTACTATTTTACTATTTTTCTAACTTCTCTCTCTCTCTCTCTCTCTCTCTCTCTCTCTCTCTCTCTCTCTCTCTCTCTCTCTCACTTTTTTTTCCCATCAGAGCCTGCCCCAGAGAACATGCTCCTGACTAACTATCCCTTGATTAATTTTAGCTCCTCAGGTCTTCCTGTGTTAAGGCTGGAGTAATGTGGTGGTGTGTATCAGATCTATTCAGGCCCCTTGGGGAGCTCATGTCCAGACCATTGTTGGGCAACTGAAGTATAGTCTCGGCATATGTGACAATGACCCAGGACTTCATAAAAAAACATTTTGGGACTGGGAAAAATAGCTCAAAGGGCTAGTGTCCATGCTTTGCATGTGGAAAGCCTGGATTTGATCTCTGATGCCCCTTGATCTACCGAGCATTGTATTGGAAATAGCCCCTGAGCACTGCTGGGTCTCAGGCCAAATCAAATACAAAACAAAACAGAAAACATTTTGTTCACCATCATGATTCACTTATAACACCTATATTTTTGGAGTTAAGTTTTTTCTGGGTTTTTTTTTTTTTTGTGCCACACCTGATGATGTTCAAGGCTTACTCCTGGCTCTGTACTCAGGAATCACTCCTGGCAATACTCAGGGGACCATATGGGATGCCAGGGATCAAATATGGGTTGGCCACATGCAAGGCAAGCACCATAT